TTCCTGATTTTACCAGAGGATTTTGAGAGCTGACGCTCTGCTGGGTCTCAGCCATTTGTTTTTTTGCACATCCCCAGCCCAAACAGTGGTGCTGTAACCAAGCTGCATTTATTGACCAATTCTAAGGAAATAAAACCCCCCCAGTCACCTTTATCAATCTAATCGATGAGGGATTCCTGGAAACAGAAAAGTTAGTTCTCAAGGATGTGCTGCCCTTAAACCCAAGCCATTGGAGACCAAGTGCATCACCATCCTGCCTCCAACCTTAAATAAATCCCTAGCAGTGACTCGGAGCGTCTGTCCAGGACTCATGTTGAGCTGACAGGTTTGTGATACTCAGCCTAGCCCATTTACTGCTTTTCTAGAATAGTACAAGATAAGCATTGCCACGGTTCACCGGAACTCTCCAGTACTTCAAGACTTAGTAAAAATACACGTTACTGGCTCAGTTTACTCTGTAAACCTTTTTTGATGAGAGACACTGGGGCTGGTGCACAAAGGTCTGACTAAAGAACATTTATTTCTACCACAGTCTTAACAGGGACTAAACACATCATTCCCCCCCAAAAAGTGTAATATTTTTGATGTCCTATTAACCTCATCTAATAACCTAGTTTGATTTCTAGTATTTTGCAGAATGGTTTGTTGTCCTCATCACTACCAGCCACAGCTTCTCTGCGCACCCCTTTCCCTAAGCTCTGATGCCTGTTCTTTGCTATTGATTCTGCTCTAAGGCACATGGATGTGCAGACATCGACCATATCATAAGGGCTGAGCACCCCAATTTGGCATCCAGCACCTTAAACAACCCAGAGCCCAGGCTGGAAGAGTGATGGTTGAAGGAACAGACAAGCAGAGACACTTGGCCAGATTCTCCCTCCTGACACATCATTCAACGGAAACTTTTTCAGAAACAACCACAACAAAAAATCAGTGGCTGAAACCTCACTGCCTGTGGCTGGACCACGGTGAGATTTCATACCCCAAGCAAGGCTGGAACCAGTATTTAGTGAAGTTGGGTCACCTCCAAGAAAGCACAGATCCAAGAATTATGTCAAACTTCTGGCTAGACAAAACTAAAGTTGCACTTTTTCTCCCCAAATCTATCTAAGCTGATTCTAACTCACAACTTTTGCTGTCCAGATACACAGATATAGATATACAGATAGGAAAAATATGTCATTCTAGTGCTTCACCTGGGATTGATATTACAGCAGATAAAACAATCCTGCTTCCTTCTGGGAACAGAAAATAGGTAGAATAGGTATTTTATCTGAGAAACACTGTTGTTACTTGCAAAGGGCAAAGCTGAAGTTAGCACAGGTATTCCAGTACTAAACTTCGAGATACCCTAATTCCAGGCTCAAATGTTGCATCGTACCATTTTTTGTACGAAAAGAGGGACTAGCTCAGACCAGTGGCAAATATAAAATCTACACAAGCTTGTGCTGTGGGATCATGAAACATCAGACAACTGAAATCATGAAAGCTGATGAAAAGGATTTTTTTCTCTGTATATTGAAATTGATTTCATCTACAACTAATCCCAGCAAAACTCAAGTCTCTCAACTTCTAAGTGTAACATCTAGTATTTAGCCTTATTACTTTGCCTAATTTACTGATTCCTTCCAACATCCCCTCTAAAGGGAAATCTGGTTTTCAGCATAAAAGTAAAAAAGAGTGAACTCTTTATGGCAGTTCTACAGGTATTAATATAATCTCTTATATTTGGCCTCACGTATTTTTAAAAGGGAATTTATTTGCAGGGTTTTCCCTTCCAGCTAAGACAAGCAAAGGACACTCTCCACACAGATATATCATGGTAAAACTAAAGCATACTCTAACAAAACCAGGGAGGGCTGACAAGGAAAGCCAAGATGCAGCTACTCTAAGAAGACTGCAGAAGGCCAATTTTTAATTAAAAACTTTATCTACAATGTAAACTACAAGCTCTTGATGCTCAAAGTGCTCCTTGTGCATCACCCATAGAGGAATAAGGTAGTCAGAGATCCCACACTGTGGAGAAGCCTCAGCCAGGAGTGTCCATGGAGGTAAACACACATGCTTGGGATGCTGGAAAAGATGCTGGAAAGCTGGGAGCCATCCTGGATGACAGTGCTGCCACTGGCAGGCACCAACAGGGCCAAAAGGGAATTGTTTAGTGAGAAGGGAACAAACAGGTCATGGCAGCTTCCCCTAAATATTAACAGAAATACCCATAACTGCAGGATGAGGACCTGCAGAGCTCATTACACCTATCACAGCAGCTTCACCCAAATATAAACAGGAATATCCATCACTGCAGGAGGACTTGCAGAGCTCATCACACGCCATGGTGTGACACCCACCATCTGCACAGGACCCAGCTATGGGATTCATTGCTGGGTTTGCTTATTTTCTACCCCAACAATGATGTACCAGCTCCACTCCTCTGTCAGCCTCTTTTGGGGCTGATTCTGCAGTCCTTGTACACCTGTCACTGTTCCCAAAGCCCATCAGCATTTCAAAGGGGCTCATCCACACTCCCAGCCACGGTTGCTCATACCTTGCAGTGCCACACATTATAATTATTACAGTAATAACCAAAAGCCAGGCTGATTTTGGAATATCCCACAGTTTTGTGCCAACCTTCTCAGCACAAAAGCTCCTCTTTTTCCAAAGTGAATGGGTCACTAAAAAAAAAAAAAAAAGATAAGCAGCATCCATTACATATCTGTTATATTTAGCAACAGAGAACGCATCTGCATTACTCCTGGTCTCATTAAAGACTTGGCTCCTTGTAAATATTATGTCTGTAATCCACACATTCTCCCTCTACGCTGTGCTTCAGGGGTCTATTTCAGAAATAATTGATATATGCTGCTGCAAGGAAATAGTGGCTGAGTGTTTGACAACATTGCACAAGTTTATGTACATGGAGCAACCACAGCTGACCTAGTGTGAACATCAGCTCAGTGAGGTTCCTACCAGCACCTCCTCACAAAACTCACAGCCAAGGTACCCTGCACTCTACACCTGTGCCCAAAGAACGGTGTGAATGGTCAGCCTTGAGTTGGCCACCACTGTGGCTAAAATCCTTCCTAATCTCACACTGTTCTGACTGCTGGTGGGATCAGAGAGAGGACTTGAGCAAAGCAGAGCCCAAAATTCAACAATCAAGCAAGTTGTTTTTAGCCATATAAAATCTACTTTCCATCAGGAGGGATGGACAAGAGCCCAGTACTTCAGCAGGACCACTGTTTTTTTACTGGCTTAAAGGATACATGAAATTACTGCCAGGTAAGGCTGGAGGAGCAAGTAATTAATAATTAAAATCTACAACTGATGTGTTCAACTAACTTGGGTTTTATTTGCATTTAACAGTAAAGGCCCAGAACAGATGGGACTTTATAGATGCCTATCAAGATGCCTACTTTGATCCACCCAGAATACCATGTATTTGGAAAACAAGGCTGAATTATCCAAAATAACCCTGTAACCCTTGAGCACACAGCTCCCAGCTGTGGAGCAGGGGGGCCCTGAAAGGTGATAGTCTTCTAGGTGCTGTCCTCCTTTGGCAAAATCATAAGAACTGAGCAGCCAGAACCCCCAGAGCACGCTCTGCTCCCTGACTGGGATTTCAGGATGGGCTAAAAACCCCATGAAAACTTCCAGAGGTGGCAACACCACCACAGAGCAGTACTGAGGAGCTCCAGGAGGAGTTGATGGGTCTATTGAAGTTGATGCCAACAATGCTGAGCCCTCTCCACAGCTGTTGCAGGGGTCTGATGGCAGCTTCATGTCTACCTTCCAGGAGATACACACCTTTCCCCACCTGCCAACACGTATGGGAAACACCAAAACCACAACACCGATGGGAACGGAGGCAGTGACACGTGCATCACTGCAGGGCATCCTCTGCAGCACCACAGCTTGGATGTCTGGGGGAAAACACTGCCCCTGCTCCTCACCACACTCCTCCTGACACAGGACACATGATTACAGACCCCAGACCAGCCAAAGCAAATTTCATCCCACCTGCACTGACCGTCAGAGCATGCAGGTGCAAATCTCTCCATCAGGCCACGCTGGTTCCACCACATGCTTTTACAGGTGTATTTCTTTTTAATAATCCCATAGAAGTTCCCAGTAATACAACCCAGGCACTAAAAAATCACAGCATATCCCAGGAAGTGTTCAAAGCCAGGCTGGGTGGGGCTTTGAGCCACCTAGTCTAGTGCAAGGTGTCAGTGCCCATAGCAGAGAGGTTAGAGTTGGATGAACTTTAAGGTCCTTTCCAACCCAAACCATTCCATAATTCTATGATGACTCTATGAAATCATTACAGAGCAAAAAAAAACCCTAAGCTTTGGCAGCAGGACCACTGTGACCTTCCCACACAGCACCGCCTCACCAGCCCATTTACAACAAACCCAACCAACCAAAGCAAATGCCAATGTCCCACCAGCATTACCACCTTAGAGAGGAGAAACAAAAACTAATTAAAAAGCTCCAGATGTCTACTCCTGGTTCTTAAGAAATCACCAGGGTTCACAGTGCAAGAAATAGAGGTACACACTTACAAAGCATCACTGTAGAACTAAATAAATAACAACTGATTTTTCTGTGCTCTGTCACCAAAACTCCTGCTGAGTTCACACAAAATTTTATGTGGTGACTCCTTAGTAAAATTCCAAAGATACCAATCCCTTCACCATGATGGAGCTGAGCAGAAGGACAAGACACGTGGCATAATGAGAAGATTTTGTTTCCATGCCCTTGCTGGGGCAAAGAACAGTCATGACATTTTTCATCCTTTTACCTAAATCTTATTTTCTTTGGCAAAGGAGAAGGAGCAAAAAAAAAAAAACAAACAAAAAACAAGCCACAGGAACATAGCAGAAGGAATAAGAGTTGGCCCAGGCAAACCTGAACACGACAAACTGCATTTTGGAATTACATCTTCCTACCTGGGTGTGATGAAGCGTACTTTGGAACTACATCTTCCAGCATCACAAACAGCAGTAGAGAAAACACCAATCAATTCCTGGCTAAAACAATTGTTTTATCCCAGCAACCAGAGAGAAACCAGCGAGGACTTGCTAAAACTTTCCCTTCAAAGTTTGAGTGCTCCCTGTAAGAGGGAACCAACAATCACCTTGCACCACCCACACACAGTCTTCTAATTCACCTGTGAGCCCTGATGCCATTTCTCCTGTCAGAGCCTATAATTGGAATATCCTTAACAGCTGGGATGGGGGGGGCTCAAAACCCCCAACCTCTGGGGCAGGTGTAAGCAATCAGCCCAGATTTAAGAGCTGCTCACCAGCAGCTCCACACTCTACTTCTCTAACTTACTACACCGAGAATATAGAGCAAAGGCAGGAATACTCACACTAGATCTGATGTGAGGAGTAAATGTGACACCCATCAGGTTTTATGAGACAGCATCATCCACCAGATCTTAACAAAACACTTGCAAATTGCCAGTGCTGTGTTCCGAGAAGCTTTTCCATTTCTTCCACTTAAACACGAAGCCACTTTCAATTCCCATAGCTAGTAAACAGCCCCAAAAAAACCCAGGGAAAATTAACCTACCTTTTCCAAATGGTTGGGAAAACCCAGATTCAGGGTGTTTTTTCATTAGGGTATTTCATTCTTGCCAGAGTCAGCTGAACTGAAGAAGTTTTATTTGAACTGCAGCCAGCCTGATGGATAAATCAACTTTCCCGGCCAAAGGCTTCGGTACACCACTTCCAGCTCGTGCCTGGGACCTCATACTTTGAGGGTGATGTTTTTCCTGATACAAGGAATATTACCACCAGACCCCAGTAACAAATCTCTGCACTGAAATGCTGGCGTTAAAGATGACAGGCTCTGCTATAGTTCTTGCTATGAGGACATTCCTTTGAATCTAGGAAAAGCTGGAGTGGAAAAGGGCACAACTTTGCCCTTGGAAAAGCAAGGGGGATGAGAGGGAGCTGTCAGCAAAGTGGGCTGTGGGGCAGAAGCTCTGCGGGGCGTCTGGAGCTGCCCTGCCAGCCCAGCCCCGGGATCCCACATGGGCTGGCGAGGAGAAAACTACCTTAAAAAGAGGGAAGGCTGATGGCAAGAAAACATCATCTATGATTTGTATGCTATAAAGTTGACAATAAAACTCTGGACCATGGAAGCATCTCAGTCTGAAATTCCAAGGGGAAAAGGAAAAGTCAAATGCTCCTGCAACCACGCTCCAAAACACAGGAGAGTGCCACCACTCTGACTAAACTACCTTACTTTCTGTTCAGCTTTAGAAATACTTGGTTATGACTTTTAAAGGGAAAGACACTTTGATTTGTCCATGACTGGAAAGAGCTTGGATCAAGCGAGTAACGGCCGCAGCCCCCAGATGCGCCCGGGTTTGCGAACGATGAAAGCCAACCTCTGTCCCCGCTAATGGTTAACAGGTGGGCTTCACAAATGCCTCCAAAAATAAAAAGCTCCTTTCTAAAAATACCACCCTTCATTCACCACGCCATATTTTCCAGAAAAATACTGAGGATAGCTGACGTTTCCCAAACAATCGCTTCTACGGGAACTTCGGGCTGCCCCTGCAGCAGAAAGTTTTGCGAGGCAAAGAACACAAATCGAGCCCCGTGGATGGACCCATTCCCTCGGCCAGCTCCGGAGCTCGAGCACAGATCAGCTTTATGGAAATAACAGATTACAGAACACATCGCTACAAATAAATTATTATTTTTTTTTTTTTTTTTTACTACAGGATGCGTAATTGAAATGTCTGAGATCCAACAATCACCTCTGAATTCATAAATACCTCATAGTATTCCGAACACACTCTCCTATAATGAGACCGTCTTCAATTTTCCTTGGTAAAGAGACCTTTAAAGAATGCTAAAGCAGGTCGGCGCCCTTATGCACTGATGGAAACAGGAACAAAAGCATTTTGCCACCAGGCATCTCGTCTATCATTATTTTCTTCACTCTGCTTAAACAAACTGAAAAGTACGTGCCTTTCCCCCCCCCCTCCTAAATATCTGCAATAACTGCAATTTTATCCCGTCGGAAAGCCACCATCTGTATGAAAACAAGGGACCATTATACCGAACCGTCACCGGCGATCGGTTTTTTCCTGCTTCACTAATGTTTTTTAAAACACGGGATTAAAATGTCATCCCATCCCTCCCGTTCTAGGGAGCCGTGTGTATTCCTCTCCTATTCCTCTCCTCTGGTCACGGTATACTTAATCAAGTGTGAATGATTAAAGTACTTCAATTAGAGCTACGTACATTCATTGCAGGCAATTCAAAGGCAGCGGAGAAGTGTAGCTGAAAGAAGAAATTACTTCTACTACTTTGAGATCTCCATCTCCTACTTTCCTCCTCCCCAGCACAGCCAGAGCCCTGGGACCCGGCAAAGTACCAGGCGCTAAGCTCCAGCCAGGATTTACCTTGGGGGCACGTCCCTCGGCAGGACAAAAGGCTATTCTTTCCCCCTCTGCAAGTTTTTTTTTTTTTTTTGGGGGGGGTGTATTTTT